ACCTCATTTAATCTTTATAATTGGCCCATTTGGTAAATTGAGACTCAGAGATTAAGGAATTTCCCCAAAGTCACATCCGGAAAGATGTCATTTCCTTACTTCTCACCATCCTATCTGCTCTGTGTACCCATTTTATTCCACCCAAGTCCCCCTTAAAAGAATTACCCAGAACTGGTTGCAGTGCTCTCTTGTAAGGTTTATCAGCCAAAAGATTATTGGACCTGTGGCCTCCCCTTTTTGAAACTCTGATGCACCTCCAGCTGCATTAGATTTTTGGCAGCAGCATTACAAACTGACATCCTCTGAGCTTATTTTCAATCTCTAAGCCCAGGGTAGTTGTAGTTGTAGTCTTTTTCCTTATGCTATTATAAGGCCATTTATTTCACCTTCTTTTTTGTGTGCAGCTGGGCACAAGCATTAGACTTCACGTTCTTACCTGTTTTAAGTCAACTCAACGTCCTGAGAGAAACTGCATCTCAGTCCAGCCATGCATTCCTGTTGCGGGCTGGCTGTAGGCCAGTCTTTGGCAGTGACGCCAGAGTGGCCAGACTTCTGTGGAATTTGGCATCCCAGGCAGCTCTTGGTGACTGGAGACAGATCCCATGGTAGCCAAACCCCACAGGGAGTAGGCCCTCAGCCCCAGCAGACAGAAGCCTTGTGGGCAGAGCAGAGAGTCTCAGCCTGGCAAGGGACAGTCCTAGGGGACGCTCCTTCTGCCTCCTGTAGCTCCTGGGAAGTCTTCCGTCCACAATCTTGTGGAGCCTAGGGCAGGAGAAGCTCCCTAGGCCAAGACACATTCCCAGGTTCCCACAGGACTGGAGCTGTTCCCTTGAAGCTTTCGGAATAGAACTTTTGGGCACAGTTCATCCTTGGGTGTCTTATTTGTATACTTCTATGGCTTGGAGAGGTAGGGCCTGTCTTCATGACATTATTATTCCTGTCATCTCATCCTATGAGTGTCTGGAATTATCCCATTAAAGCTTTATATATGGGATTTTAAAGTTTTTTTTCCTGGAATCATAGATTGTCAGGGTTGGAAGGAACTATAGTGTTCATCATCTCTGTCTCATAATTAATGAAGGCATATTCTCAGTATCTTTGCCAGGTAATTCTCTAGCCTCTGCATGGACACACCCACCTCCCAAGACAGCCTCTTGCACTGTTTTAACTATACAAAGTTCTTCCAAAAAGTGAAAGTCTATTCTGCTGGGGCTTCTGCCCATTGGCTCTGGTTCTGCCCTTGTGCTCTATGGTCTTCCATAACTTTCTCTGACAATGACAATTCTCTGGGAGAAGAAATCTTAAGATGTTCTTGACCAATGCCCGAGATGATTCATTAGCAGCCATCAGTGGTACAGGGTAACACCCTGGGGGAGGGAACTGCCAAGAGCCAGTCTAGTGGCTCCACAAACTATGAATTTTGCTGTCTTTCATCTGAACATCCCTATCAGGCAACGAGGGCATAACTCTGATGGCTTGTGAGGGAGCCCAGAGGAGGCTGTACCATCACAACAGAATAAAGTTCTCTGAAGCCCAGGAATGGGAGCCCACTGCATGGTATATTCCATCATGGGAGTGAGACCTAGGAAACAATGGAGCTTCTGAGGAAAAGACCTCATCAGTATCACCATCACCAGCATCTATTATATTTTATTTAGCACCTACCAGGGCCAGGTGCTTATAGATATCTGGATGGATGGATAGATAGATAGATAGATAGATAGATAGATGGATAGATAATCAATCTTTATATCACAAAAACCTTTTGAAAGTCAGGTGCAGAGGGGCAAAATAACTAGCCCAAGGTTACAAGCTAGTTAAGTGGTAGGTTTAGATTTAACTCAAGGTCTGCCTAACCCAAAAGCCCAATTCCTTAATCATTCTGCAACCCCATCATAAAGACTTGCTATTGTAGACTTGGGTGGGGTGTGTGTGTGTGTGTGTGTGTGTGTGTGTGTGTGTGTGTGTGTTTCGGGGAGTGAGGTTAGTGCCCAGCTCCAGGTAAAAAGGCAACCCTTATATTCCGTGCTCCCAATATCAAATACTATATCCTGGCCCCAGACTTCTCATCCAGCTGGCAGCCAGGTTAAAAGAAAGAAGAGATCACAACAGGAAAGAAGTGTTGGGCCCAAAATGCCCCAGCTTGGCTAAGTTAGACCATCTTGGTGGGAGCAATTATTGCTGCTTTGAGGCTTGTTTTGACTTTACCTCTGAGATTGATATACAGGCACCTATAACAGGCCTCAAGTTTCATTCCCTAACCTGAGCATTTTCAGATCTGCTCACCAGAGTTAATACCAAGTAAAATATAGTTTAACATTTTAAACCTTTTTTTAAAAAAAGGGGAGCGGTTAACAATGTTTTTCTTTTAAAAGATTTATAGTCTGCTCCATTTTGGATTTTCATTATAGTTGTTACATGTTCATTTATTTAACAAGCATTTAAGGACCTCTTATGCTTAGCCCTGTGCTTGATGATGTTCGTAAAATGACAAGATTTGAATATTCCAAAATTATCCCTGATTCTATTTTAACTTTTAATAATTAATTCCCATATTAGGCCACATATCCAAAATTTTCTTTGAAAAAAAAAAATGGGCACTATATTTGTTAGGAATTCATGGGAAGATGAAGACACTTAGTCCATGCCCTCAAGGATCTGGCTGTCTTCTTAGAAGCATCATCCCAGTCTTCAGGATAACAAGTTAATACTGCAGATGCCCCCTTCAGTAGTATGAGTCTCCTAAGTGCTATTATAGGAGTTTGGAGAAGAGATGACAATTAACATGGATAGTCAGGAGGGGAGATTTCATGAATGGGATAGAACTTAACTTAGACCTCTAGGATGTGTTGGATTCGGTTGGTAGAAAAGGAGAGAAAAAGTACTCCTGGAGGGTACTCGCCATAAACAATGGAGTGGCCTAGATTAGAGAATAAACATTGAGAGGTCAGGCCTGATAGGAGCAGGTGTGATTAGGACATGAGGGAGAATGGCTCAAGGGATTGTTTCTAACCATGCTAAAGAAAGTTCCTGATGTCAGGCTGAAGAACGTGGATGTTATTCTCTAGGTAATGAGAAAGTGAGCATCAGACTGCTGGCACTCACATTCCAGTTGCATTAGCCACTACTGTATGAACCTGGACAAATTACCTGACTTAGTTGTGCCTCAGTTTCTTTATCTAAAATTAGGGATGTTATAATAGTTTCTACCTCATGGGGCTGTTGTAAGGTTTAAGAGACATTGTGCATAAAAGTTTCCATCATGTTACCTAGCATATACAAAGTATTAGCTATAAATCTTTTAGAGCAGTAAAGTGATGCAATTAAGGAAAGAGTTTAGAAGGATAATAAGTAGTCATGGAGAAGATAAATTGGAGAGAGACGAGACTAAAGAATTAGGAGACTATTCTAGTAGTCCAAGCAAGAAATGATACAGGCCTGATCAGGGTTGGTGAAGAGAAAATGGTGAATTTTAGATGCCAAGAGGGAAAAAAAATGATGAGTCTTGATGGCTAATGGAATGGAGTGGTCTCTAGCTGGCTTATTGGGTCTGGATATTTCAGTGCCACAGCTCAGACCAAGCCTCCTGGATTCCATGAGAGTGCTTGGAAGAAGTGAAACAAGTGTCATGTTCTTGCTGTGATCTGTGAGGTTGGGGATTATAGATATAATGCTCTCTAATGTGGGATACTAAGTGCATTTTAAAGGCCCACTTCTTCCTTCCATCTGAAATAATCTAAGCAGAACAGTTTTAGGCAATGCTGTTATTAAGACCATGATACTAGAAAGGGTAATACTTCTGTTTTCCTGGTAGTGGAGCTAAAAATGGGACTTAATAGGCAGGAGGGGAGATTGGTGGCCAAAATCAGAGCTCCATGGGAAATGGGGAACAGGAGAAACAGTTTTAACGTGGGAGTAGGGCTTGAGGAGTGGGGGGAAGTGTCACAAGGGGAGAGGAGCACTAAGAGAGGAAGTGGGAGAGTGCTAAAGACATAACTCAGCCCATTTTGCAGCCTTGCCTCAGAAGCTCCCTCTTTGACATCACCATTGGCACACTTGGCAGCCCTTAGGCTTTAGAGAGCATTTCCCCTGTGCTGAATTCAAGCTCCAAAAGCTCACTGCCTTTAATACAAATATTAGACAAACTGAAGTCACATGCATCTTTGATCCTGTCAGGGCATAATCAGAATCACAGCTGGGAGGAGAGGAAGCTTGGGAGTGAAGTCCTGTTGTTAGGTAAAATGCAGTGATATTCTTTGAGAGGGAAAACAGCTTGGCCTTGAGCACTTTTACAAACATTAACATCTTACTCCTTCCCTCTGGGTAAGAAGGGTTCTGGGAAATAAACAACTGCCCCCTCCCTCAAGTCCCTCCCTGTGAAAGTTCCAGCCAGCCCGGAGTGACTCTGACCCCCCTGATTTAGACCCACAGCTGATCTCACCCGGTAGTTAACTCCCACAAGAAGAGAGCCAAGTCTAGGCAAGTCACCTGGTCTAACTCCCCCCGCCCCCGCCCCCCTCCCCTCCACACACACACCCACCACTTCCCCAGCTCTCCAGGCCCTGGAGTCGCCTAAAACCCAACTTGCTCTCTGGAGTTTGGTGTTGATCCCTCCTTTTCTTCGTGAAGCTAGGCCTGTGAGTATCACGGGAAGCTGGACATCAGGCAGCTCCCATAGAATAAACCAGATGCTGTTAGAAAATTCAAAGCTTCCAGAAAGAATAAATCTATAAGTGGGCAAAATGAAAAAGGGGCTGAGGAGGTCTCAGACATTGTGTATGAGAATGGTTCCAAGCCCTAGACTGCCTATGCCATGCCCCAGCAACACCCCAGAGGTGAGAGAGAACCCCTTTGAGGCATTTCTGGAACAGCAGAAGCCTCTGGGCCAAATCTCACTGGATCCCATAGATCCCACTGTAACCATGCCACAGAGCCACAGGTTTCTCTTTGGAATCTGCTTGGAGTTTTGTTTTTATCTTTTCTGCATTTTTGTCTTCCAGAGTGGAACACTTAAGGATCCGGACTCCAGCAAGACCCCACCTCAGCGTCCACCCCCCCAAGGTTGTTTACAGTATATTCTCGACTGTAATGGCATTGCAGTAGGGCCAAAACAAGTCCAAGCTTCTTAAAGTGATTGGTAGTTAATTTTTCAAAGCAGAAATTTTAAGCCAAAAACATTTAAGGAAAGAAAGGAAAGCGGGGAGGGGAGCAACAGACCCTCCCATTGGTGCCGTTTCTGTGCTTTTTCAATGCTGACTGGACTGTGTTTTTCCTATGCAGTGTCAGCTCCTCTGTCTGGTTGTTTACCTGTTCCTGTTCGTGCTTGTAATGCTCACTTATGTTTCTCTGTATAACTCGTGATTCCAGGGCTGTTTGTCAACAGTATACAAAAGAATTGTGCCTCTCCCAAGTCCAGTGTGACTGTATCTTCTGGGTGGTTTGATAGTATTTTTTAAAGATTACACAATGTGGGGTGAAACAGGAATAGGGGCTGGACAGGGGAGAAACAAAGACCACAAAAACAAAACCCAACTCCTCTCCTGCTCCCCTCATCCCAGGCTCAGATTAAACCACCCCCCACCTCCTGCTTACCTCCATGAATGTGCTTGGGATCTTCAATGAACTGTGCTTTTTGCTTCCTTTCTGCATGACTAGGGTAAATAGATAGAAGTTTAAGAGATTTTCAAGGTCTAATTTCCATAGCTTCATCCATTGAATCTGAAGTCATCTACCTTTTTCTCCATTTGCTAAAATGTGGTGCAGTTTGAGTTTATGTGAATCGGCTGGCTGTGCCTGTAAAGTTCTTGTGTTTTTAGTGATTACGTGAAATACAAAGAACAAGCTATTTGCAGGAATGTGTTCTGTATTTTACATCCCAGTGTACCCTTCATTTTTATTATGAACTAATTAGCTATGAGATTAGACAAAAAAAATGGGGCCGCTGATGTGCAATATCAATCAAAGTGAACTTGTATTTTCTATGTTGATCTCAGTCCCCTTAAGTTGTTTCTTCTTTGTTGCTGTTTCTGAATTGGCCATGTGTGCGCTTCTGTAGAACTGAGGCTTCTTCACAGTCCCCAAAGCTTGACCTGTGTACAGAGATGATCTTTAGCAGTTTTAGATATAGAATGCAGGGAGCTACTGAAAGTCTGGGAAGGATTCAGCCATTTTGCTCTTGGCCTCTCCTGAGGCATCATAACACAAGATCAAATCAAAAATGTCCCATTTCACTTGAGTGGGTACACTGCCTGCAGAACCCTTAAGTGGACTCCGGCTTTAGTTTTCAGCTGTTCTAAGAGCCCTCTGGAGTCCAGATAATGAAGAGCTTTATCTTTTCTGGGAAAAACTGTCTCAGATTTCAGCTTGGTTGTATTTGGGGCAGAGGCAGCACAGCCGTGGTTCTTAAAGAACCCTCACCAGTTTGTTCTCTTTCCTTCTGGTAGTGATGAGGTAGTTAATTAAACCAGACCTTTGGTTCAGTGCCTCATCTTGCCACCTCCTGGCCACACTGGGAATGGGCACCAACTCCCTCCTCTAGCACCACGGTCCATGGAAGTTCATGCCAGCAGTTTTAGAAGAAATGCTTCTGGCTCTACTTTTACATTCTCTCTCATTTCTATACTAATATGTCACTGTTCTGGATTATCAGGTTTGAGGAATAACTAGTGTTGGTAGTATGTAACATGATTTGTGTGTCAAGGGGCACTGCCCTGGTTTCTCCTTTGGTTGCTGGCAAATTCTGAAGCTATAGGGAAATGCACAGAAAGTGAATGTTGTCTGTGATCCTCCTTTAGATGATGATGGCAGTCAATCTGTAAATAAATATATATATATATACACATATATATATTTACATACTTCCAGGTGGGTTACATAAGAATCAGGTCCTTAAATACCTCCCAATTCGATTAAATGATAGAAGGGAATAAAGCAACATTTTCTAGAATGAAGAAACACATTTTATTTATTTTTATTTTTATTTTTTGTCCAAGTGGTGAGCTGATGGTAGTGTTGCTTCTCTGCATGTTATCAGTGTGAACATCTAGGTGCTTTTCATGTGACATTTGTGAACCGCAAATACAATCTTTCCATTTGAATTCAGTCAGGCTCCAGGGTGGTATCAGCCAAGGTCTCTCAGGTGGGGAAGAAACTGCCAAAAACAAACAGACAGTGTACCCTGACTGTCATATGCCCTCAGGCAGCATGCTAAAGGACAATTCTATGTCCTGGGGGACATCCATGTCACAGTATAGGATTGCCATTCAGGTGTTTTGTACCCATTTCTTTTCTGATGTTGTCCCCTTTTTTTGTACCGATCCAGCTGGGAGAAACTCAGCCAATGCTGGAAGTGTGATTGAAGTACCTCTCTTTTGTGACTCTCTTGTACAGCTTAATGTGCAATAAAGGAAAAGTTATATCTGTCTTCAGTGTTAAGTTGTAAAGTTTCTGGCTATTCAAGCATCTCTTTAGAGGTGGGAAAGTACTCAGATTTCTGGTACAAGATGCTGAGCTATCAACCTGCAGCACTTTATAAGAAAATGCTAATATAAATGATGCCAAACTTTGGAAAAGGCAAAGACTAATTAATATGAATTAATCTGCTAATCTGTCATCTTCAATAGTTATCTAATTTGAATTTGGAAATTCTTAAACATGCAAATGCAAAATTCCATTTATTCATTTATGTATTTATTTATGTGTAACTAACTCCGGTATTAATTGGTACTTGATGATAAACTGGAACCCATGCCATGGAGTGGGGAAATGGACTGACAATCATGGATATAGACATAGTGATGTAGACATAGAATTCTGCCTCTCCAGAGGATGCAAGTATTCTGGTGTTTCTAGAAAACAAAGTTGCAACTCTTAGCTGCTGTTGAGTTTCTATAAGCCTACTCCTTCTAATAGGCCCATAGATATGGACTCTGGGATTGGATCTTCCAGGCCAGGTATACATCATTTCTACTAGTTCGTATGTGCTGATGGGAACATCTTTCAATTTCTTAGTATAGGAAGCCCCTCTGCAAAATCTGAGCAATCTGGTACCATACTTCCTGCCTATCAACCCCTAGAGGAAGGATGGCCTTTTTTTCTCTCCAGGTTGCCAGATGGTTTTCTGTCTTATGCTGGGAAAAGGGTATCTTGGTCCTCTTTTTTTTTCTGAGGGGGTGTCTTCTTTGCCAGATGGTGCCCACAACATCCCAAGGTGGAAATGGGGCTTGGATTTCTGGAGAATTTCACCATACTCACCCGAAAGGGACTAGAGCCCTTAAAATGGTACTAAGAGGCAAAAAAGTGCCTGGAAACAAAAGATTCATTATGGGTATGAGTGTAAGTTAATGCTAAAATGAAGCCCTGGTAGGGCGGGGTGTGGCAATCAGACACATGTAGGCTCAGAGCGGGACAAAGGCTAGCTCCATAAAAATAATTTGTCACAGATCATTAATGATCATAAGGCACAGAATACTTTTTGAAAGCTTTCTTATCCATTATAATCTTCAAAACACTACCGTCTTGAAAGATAACTAAAACTAAGACCTGCTTTTTAACAGTGTTACGATTGAAAACACTGAGGTCCAAAGAAGTTTGCTGACTTGCTCAAGGAATCACCGATAGACTACGTCATGGGTTTTCTGATTCCCAGACCATTCTTTCCACCGCCCTGTGCTGTCTGCTGTGTGGAACTTGAGACCTCCTAGTCAACCATGGGGCAAGTTGGCCAGTGCCTGAGGAACCTCTGGGAAAGAGAAGTGGGGTCCCTCTGATCTGGGGGGTCTTCTGTAAGAGAGCTCACCTCTGATCAGGGCCGCCATCCTATAGTTTCTTCCCTGTCTTCCCAACTTCTGCTGTGACTGCAGTGCTGTGTCTCTGAGGAGGAGCAAGTAGTAGTGATGTATGAGGGTAACCAGCAACTCACTCTGGAGTCCTTCAGAGCCTCTGGTGGCTTCTTGTAATAGAGCTTATCCTTTTGGTAATTAACTAACCACACCCTTTGAGACATATATTTTAACAAGGAAACCCTTTGATATGGTTGAATTATGAAGTTTTTCTTGTACTGAACCTAGGGGGCCCTGGGCAACCCCAAGGAATGCAACCCCCAGGCAAGGTGCTGCCTCCACGCCGGCCTCCCCCCGGACCATCAGTGCCACCTTCCTCCTCTTCCTCCTCCTCCTCTTCTTCCTCCTTCTCGGCTCCTCAGCGACCGGGAGGCCCCACCACCCACGGAGATGCACCCTCCAGCAGCAGCTCCCTGGCAGAAGCCCAGCCACCCCCGGCTGCTCCACCACAGAAGCCCCAGCCTCACCCACAGCTCAAGTAAGAGACAACTCAGCAGCTCTTTCCTCACCCCCCTTCCTGCCCCTCCTCGCAGACTTTGGGCTCCAGAGCTGCTAGAAAGCACCTTCAGTCAGGCTTCCTCCTATAGATATTTTTGTGGGGTTCTGGGGGGTTTTGGTTTTTTGTTTGTTTGTTTGTTTGTTTTGTTTTGTTTTGTTTTGTTTTGTTTTGTTGGAGGTTGGGTGCCTGATAGAGGTTGATTGGGGAGGAGAAAAAAGAGGGAAGTGAAAGTCTAAGGTCTAGAAGCTCAAATCCTCCCCTTTCTTCCTGAGGACTAGCAATAAAGCAGAGTTACTACTCCCTCTCCTATTCTTATACTAGGTTAGGGTTGTTGTTTTTTTTAATCCTGTCTCCTACTCTTAATTCCATTCCTTTCTCTGTGTGCATGTGTGTGTCTCTCTCTCTAAAAAAAAAAAAATTCTTTTTCTTGCCTCTGACTCACAGTTTAGGGTATGAAATCAGCAAGGCCCAGAAGGAAAAGGGGAAGTAGGGCCCAGATAGAGGCCCTGAGGAACTCCATCCTGAGGGGTTCTCACATTCCCATGAGTAACCCTAAAAGCTCCCATTGTACTATTCTGCTTTAAAGGAAGAACTGAGGACCCCTAGGAAACAGTATAGCTGTACTTAGGAGGGACAGCACCTGGGTGTGAATGGTGGTCAGTTCTACCCTCTCCCACAGAACCAGAGATGCCTCTCTTCAATTTCCTCAAACAACTCTCTGTCATCATTGTCAGCACACACAGCTGTAGCCTTGGGAAAATGGTAGAGATGCATCACTGTTTCCCAGAGTAAAATGATGAGAATCTTTAGAGAGGGGAAAAAAGGGAGCTGTAGAATTTTAGGGCTCAAATGAGCCACTTAGAGATTATCTAGTCATTGCATAGATGAGAAATATGGCTCAGAGAGATTTGATTCATTTTCTTTTTAAAGTCACTCTGCTAATTAGTGACAGAGCCAGGATTGGGGCTCCGGTGGTCCAGATGACCACTTTCTCTTGGTCTTCCAGTCCTTCCTGACAGGAGGAACATCACTCACTCCTGCTCCCCAGCTCTGGCCAGTGGCACATTTCATTTCTCACCTGCCCCATAACTTCCTCTCAACCCCTTTTTTTTAAAATGTGTGTGCTGTCTTCTTAATCTTTTCTACCTTCTCATTAGCCAACTCTGGCCCAAGTCTAAGGGCAGATCTTTGGGTTATCACTTCCTCTGGCCTGAAGTTGTTGAATAGAGACAGCATCTGATGACAAGTGAGAGGCTTATACCCTGTGTCCTCAGCCTGTGCCTGCAGCAGAGTCCCCTCTCCCAGAAACCAGCACGATGGGGCTTGTCCCCAGCCCTAATGAGAGGTGGGGCATCTGTTCACAGTCACTGCAGGAGGAGAGAAACTGCTCACACACACTTCTGTAGAAGGGAGTTTCTGGGACTGCACCTTGAATTTAGGGGAAGGCTGGGAGTTCTAAGACACCTGAAGAAGAGCTCTGGAGCCAGAAACCAGCAGGAAAGAGACACAGTAGAAGTCAAGAAGGAGAGAAGATGGGCCACTGGAGACATCAGACCTCTGGTCCTCGTCTAGAGTGCTGGGCTTGGCCTCCCCTCAACCTTCTTGCCTCCAAAGTCCCTAAAATATCTGCAATTTGGGTTTTTTCATTAGAAACCTATCCAATAACCTTGTATAGGCATGATATGCACAGTTGTCCCTCAGCATCCACAGGGGATTTTTTCTAGGGCACCTTGGGGATACCAAAATCCGCAGATGCTCAAGTCCTTTATCTAAAATGGTGCAATATTTGCATATAGGCTACCGCAGGGTATGCCTACACATCTTCGTTCACATGGATTCAGTGTAGTGCTCAGCTTATGGCAGATTCAAGTTTGCTTTTTAGAACTTTCTGGGATTTTTTTTCAAATATGTTTTATTCACGGTTGGTTAAATTCATGGATTTGGAGGGCCGACTGTATCTTGCCCCTGGATACCCTGAACCCCACAGACCTCATATTAAAGCTCCTCTTAGGAAGGCTGCAAAGGGTGATATTATGTTCATTTTAAGGACAGGTAAATTGACCATTAGAGTTTGTACCAAGCCAAAAGATTCTTTTGGGATCAAAGAAAAAAACATAATGAAATTGCTGAAAAGGGCTAGAGATCATTTCACCAACCATCTGCATAATGCAAATAAGAAACCAAGACGTTGACCTGGGTCTTCTGATGCTGGTTCCACTACTTCACAGTTGATGGAAAAGACAGTGCAAGAGTCCATAGGCCCATAGTTGCTACATTTCCGAAGAGGGGAAGGGTGTGAGATTCCTAGATTAGTACTTACCAAGAGCCTTTGAAATTTAGCCTATGGGCCCTTTAGCATTAAATAAAAGAAACATCCTTTGAGTCACCCCCTCTTCCTCTTACCCTTCTTCTTTCTCTTCTCTCTTTTCCCCCTTCTCCCTCTCTCCCTCACTGCCCCCACCCTTTCCTTTTTTAGCAGCACTGAAGGTGAAGAAAATAGCACAGGGACCTCCCAGAGTCCTGGTAGCAGGACCTCTGCTGGCTTTCTCTATTACCCTGTTCTCCCTGGGGCGGGCATGGGGTTCTGGTTGTGTATCTTCATGTCATCGTCCTTCCCTACCTGGCTGGGAACACCACCGTCTCATGTTCTCTCTGGTTTTTATCTTCAAGCAAGTCGCAGTCCCTGACAAATGCCTTCAGCTTCTCTGAGTCCTCCTTCTTCCGGTCTTCAACCAATGAGGATGAAGCCAAAGCAGAGACCATCCGGAGCTTGAGGAAGTCCTTTGCCAGCCTTTTTTCAGATTAGCTCTCCAGACACATGAGGGCTCCCGGCCCAACCGGGAAAGGCATCTGAGACATTTGCCAACAACAGTCAACCACGTTTGGTGGTGATGTCCCATGACCTTGACTTGTGTGGCCCCTTCCTCTGCTCCGTCGTGCTAAGTGATGTTGTGCAGCTCAGAAAGGACCATATGAAGGTCTCAGGGCAGATGCCTAACCAGCAAGGGCACCTGACATCAGAGAGGATAGAGCTGCTTTCCTGTAGTCCTGAGAGCTTCCTCTGAGGTCATTGTTTGCTGTGAGTTTA